GGTAGCTTTCCGGAACGATGCCCATCCGTTGCTGGAAGCCTAGCCGGCATGCAACTACTGTACTTACTTTCCTTTTCTTTTATGTATTGCGGCACAATAGCTGAGGTGTTGTAAACCTCTAGCTAACGTGTATACTGATGATAACAGGTGATGCAGGAGGAGTCATAAATGGTTAGTTTAGAACCTCCGTCAGAGGCCGAGATCCGAAATGCGATCACAGGCCTCAATCGTTTTCGTGCCGCTGGCCCGGATTCCCTCCCACCTGCACTGTTTAAGGATGGATGTGAGGTCCTCTGCAAAGTACTGACCTCCCTATTCGAACGTATCTGGAAGGAAAAGTGTCCCGGCTAATTGGAGCGAATCGATTATAGTGGCAATATACAAAAAGGGCAGTCGCACAGACTGTTCTAACGACAGGGGTATTAGCCTAACGCCAGTTGTGATAAAATTACTGTCCTCAATTCTCGTTCGTCACCTTTTTTGTGGGACGGGAATCTCGGATTAGGGAAGACCAATCCTGTTTCCGCCCAGGACGTGACTGTGTAGACCATATATTCACTTTGCGGCAAGTGCTAGAGCAGAGCCATATATTCCGCAGACCGACAATAGCTGTGTTCCTTGATTTCAAAAGTGCATTCGATTCAGTCGATCGATCGATTCTGTTCGGAATACTTGCGCGAAAATGTGTTCCCACGAAATATGTGAACATTATACGTGCTCTATACTAGAACACTACAGGCCGCGTCAGGGTCTTCGGTGGCATATCGGATAGCTTTCCGACCACAAGTGGCATTCATCAGGGCTGTAAGATTTCCACATTTTGGTCAATTTCGTCGTGGATTCTATCATAGAGTGTTCCTTTGCGGAATCTCACGAGGTAGACGTCGAAGTGATGCCCAGTGAAAGATTAGTTGGTCTAGATGATGGGGACGATATCGTCTTGCTTTTCGACGATGTTGCAGCGACACAATCAACTGTGACTAGCCTGTCTAGAGTGACCCCATTATTTGGTATGCGCTTTGCGCCTTCAAAGTGCAAAGTGTTCCTGTAAGACCACCAGTCACTTTATGACCCCTTAACCTTTGCTAACGAGGAGCTGGAGGTGGTTGATTAATCCACTTACCTTGTTAGCTGCATCAGCAACGATGGACGCATAGAAACTGACGTCAGCTCACGCATTGCAAAGACCAGAGCTTCCTTCTTGAACCTGCGGCATCTTTGGCGACAGAAAGGAGTTTCCCTTCGTCTGAAAGGTCGTGTATACAAAGCCACAGTGAGGGCCGTTCTGCTCTATGGGAGTGATACTTGGCCCCTTCGGTCTGAAGATTTGAGGCGCCTTCAAGTCTTTGATCATTGTTGTCTGCGAAGCATCGCTGGTATCCGATGGCACCAGCGTATCCGCAACGAAAATGTACGTAGGCAAGTACTTGGTAGTGATAATCATGCTACCTCCCTAGAACAACAAATAGCACTGAATAAGTTGCGTTGGCTCCGGCACGTGCTACGTATGTCTGGTCACCGCTTACCTAGGAGGGCCTTGTTTACTCTGTCAGGTATAGGGTGGCGCAAGGCTCGAGGTGGACAGAAGTTGACTTGGCAGCGGGAAATGAAGTCACTGACGACCAAATTGGGTGTCGTTGGTCCCTCTCGCCTTCCGGGCTGAAGTCCATGTGACTCGCCTTGTGTTTGACTTGAGACTTTACAGGATATGGCTCGCAACCGACACCAGTGGCGCGCCTGCTGCCAACTCCTAATCGAATTGCCTGTTTAAAGTGTGTTTGGTGCTGAGTTATCTGCGGGGTAACGGCTGATTATGACGCGGGACAGTGAAAGCCGCAAGAACGCTGTTTTGTCGACGCCGCCTTACCATTGCACGATAGTCAGCTGTTGGTGACAGTATGTTGTCAACACAAGGTATAGGCGCCTTGACCCTGAATGTTTGCTTAGGGCATTAAGGTTTTCAGGTAAGTCCCCCTTCTCTCCCTCTTATTATTATTCTATATTTCATAGGTCATCATGGTTGTATGGCAGCGAAGCATCAGTTCAAATAGCTGATGTACTGCTGTTGATGATGATGGCAATACAGCTGCCGTCACGTACATTGGGAGACGTAACGGGGTTTGAAAATGAGGATAAAGAAGGACGGGAGAGTAATTAGAAGAAAAAAGGAGTCGGTGGCAGTCTGTTTTACCTATCTCACATGCCGCATGGAGCAGACAAGGTAGTCATGAAACGGTGCGATGGCAGACATATGATGGAGCTGGAGATCGTTGGAAATTCCTACATGAAGAAATGCACCCAGTGGTTGATCAGGATTGCTTTGTCTTGATAGTCTTCTCTGTCTACATACAGACTCGAAAAGTGGTAGAGAACGCACAGATTCGTCCATAGAAAGCTACTTTGGCTCGTTCGTTAAAGATGCATGGTCATAATGGGGCCGGAAACTATTGTATCCGAAGTTCAAAATAGATCCGATACGTCAAGTGGGTGCGGAACCTAATCATATCTTACGAATATTGACAAATTTAAGTACACGGTTCAAGAGGCCATTTAAGACCAAAATATGCGTTCTATTATCTAGTCAACGCTGTGTGTATCACCCAAATGTGCTCAACAGGTATGTCCCAGTGTCCGAATTCAGAGTGTAATCACCTAAGCCGTCATCGCCGCTAATGGCCTGGGTGTTCGGGCCGCTGTAGAAATCCCCATAACCGTGGGTTAAAATCTCTACGAATTCCGACGAAATGCGGACCGCAGTGTCCCAAAGCGACGGAACGGTCAGTTAGCATTAGTAGAGTCTGGCTGTGACCAAACCAGGTGAAAACACAGCACTTGTCATGAGTGTGATGTTAACTTGCTGGTTACGTGAGCGAAACCGACACGCGGCCAATGGACTGGAAAGCCAATCAGTGCCACCAGCGCAAACTTAATAACCTTACACGGGCCGGATAAACAGTGAAGAGGTGGTTCGCATTGTTGTGAGTCAAGCACGATTCTGATCTTGAACGAAAAGCAAATGGGCTGTCTGCGCGCGACACTGATCTGAGAGGACGGCGCGTGGTGCGATGATAGCTGATCGACTGAGTGAGCGGAAGGGATGGAAACAGTAAGTGGAAAGGCAATCAGCGTCGTCGACGCAAGAAGACCACAGTGGCCCAGAATTAGTGTTAGGTGTTTTGAACGAAGTGCAACTTCGATCCAGTCAAGATAAGAGTGCTTCAAACAGCTGCGAACGAACGATGAGCGCGAAACAATGAACTCAGGCAGACAACTGGCAATAGTCAGCCAATGAACGTGTGCCTCAGTAAAATAACGATCCAAATTTAGGTACTGTGGAAACGAATCTTTGCTCTTTAGTAACAAATCTTTGTATCGGCGCCCAAGTCTTCGTTTTGATTCGCAGCGTGCAAACTCGACAATAAGGATGAGAACAGAGTTCATTTTATACTAGATCAGAACGATGGTCACCTAGTGGGGGTTTCACTAGTTACGGATACGAATCCACGATGGAACAGTGGTGTTCCTACACATCAAAGAGGCCTTTGATTCTGTTGATCTTTGTTCCCTTTGAGACTGTCTACTGAGGAAAGGTGTGCCCGAGAAATATGTAAATGTCATAACGGCGCTGTACGCGCATAGTTCGGGCAGTGAGGCTATCCGGCAAACTTTCGCCGTCCTTCAATATCTCCAGTGGTGTAATAAAAAGATTGCCCGCCGTCAACTTTCCTCTTTAACTTCGCCAGTGACGAAGTAATGGAAACGGCGTTCGCCGGGCACGACGTAGAGTGAACGACTTCTAGACATGGAGTGTGCGAACGACAATACATTCATCCGTGACAGCTCGCAAACGTGCCAAGCTCCAATGGATAAACTAGCTCTGGCTGTCAATCGTTACGGGTTATGCTATGCAACCTTAGAAAGTAAAATCGTTCTCAAAGATTGACAGAGACCCACCCCCGCACTGACCTTTGGCGGTGACCGGCCAGGTCGTCAAGAAATTTAAGTGTCTAGACAGCTATATTAGCGCCCTCAGGATCGAAGATGAGATAACGAACCGCATAACAAAAGCTCTAGGTACTTCTGTCAATCTCCGCTACCTGTAGCGCCGGCGTGACATTAATCTCGCTCTGAAGGGCAGAGTTTACAATGCAGCCGTCCGTTGAACCCTACTGTACGGTTGTGAAACCTGGTCCATCAAGTCGACTGACTTAAAGAGGCTGGTTACGTTCGACCACCGCGGCCTTCCCAGTATAGCTCATGTCTGATGGGAACACCGCGTGGGCAATGAGCGTGTTCGGCGTCATGTATTTGGTGCAGGAAGAGGGAGTAAACCGCTCACCACCAGTATACAACGCATCAGACTCCGATGGTTGGACCATGTGTTGCGCATGCTAGCACACCGACTCCCGCGTCGTGCGTGGTTTGCGCGCCGGGGGTGCGGATGGAAGAAGAGGGGATGCAAAGCGATGATTTTGTCAAGAGGAAGGTAGCCCCTCACTTCGAAGTTGGCGTCGGTTGGTGTTGCCCGACTGCTGGGCCGGGATCCGAAGGACGATGAATAGGTTTGATTGAATACATTAGTTGACATGGTGAGGAGCCGACCTCAATGGTGTTTGTGCCGAGTTTTTATGTCCCTCCACTCTCCAACAACGATCTCAAACCCTATGCATAATGTGTTATTTAGTGTTTCGTTACTTTGTCTGCATTGTCTAATTTCTTATCCTTTTTCTATTGGGGCACATTAGCTGAGGTGTGTTTCTCACACTCGGCTAACGTGATCTTCGATGGAAGCGGTATGGATCTCTCAAGCAAAACACGCTGCTATGTAGTCGTCAGGACGAAACAGAATTGTGACATCTTAACACTGACTAAGAATATGACTGACGCTGCGAACTAGACGTCAACAACTACTTCGGTTACTGAGATGCGCGAACGTAAGAGGACGCAGATCGAGCAAAAGCAATTCAAGGACACAACTCTGCTTGGTTGTGAAGACTAACCAGCTTTGAGCTTGGGAAAGTCCGTCAAGCTGCTGACATCTACTGGATTCTGCTCGATTTTCGCCGGATCCATGCCGACATGGGATGCTGTACGTTTGGAGGCGGTCGATGAGCGATAAAAGTCGGACATATCATTGGTTAACCCACTGTGCAAGACATCCGGGGAGAGACCGCGCGAAAACTTTGAGCTGAAGGAAAAACGAAAAGGGTTTGTTAGTACACAGTCGGGAGAATGTTGTGTTGGGGCAAAACCACAAGGATCAACACAAAGTAAGTCGAAGCTGAGGCAAAATATGCTAGACAATAGATAAATCAACCAATAAAAACCGATTAACACAAAAAAACCAGTAAATGGCTAACGGAGTGAATATTAATGCTCCAGATAAGATGGGCCCGTATCTAATACTGGAGTCTGAGCAACGAAAATTTCGCCTAATTACTATCGTCGTTGCTGATGCCGCCGAGCAAACAGAAGATCTACTGTGGTCTAAACAACTACCATCTCGCCACCGAATTCAGTCCTCTGTGCTTTCCATTTTGGGATGCCAGCTTAAGAAGAAAACCAGCTGATACACTCATTTTATCTGGGCACCGCAAACCCACTGAACAGGACGATGCATCCATCTTATTGATTACAAGCGAGGTTCGTATCACCTCTGCGAGAGCTCGCTAGATTTGCTCCGAGGAAACGATGGAATGTGAGCTGCAGTGCGCCTCCTCAACATTAGTTGAAAATGGATATCCCGAAAAAGTCATAGCACGGTACTCGAACGCGAAAACCACAGACGAACAGTTGACCGGCGTCGCCAAAAAAGGTACACAACACTGTTAATCAAAGTACACCAAATGACAGGAGATTGCCATATTATCTCCGTTATCATTATTACGCTGTCGAACTTGAAGTTTTGCGAAAAGTTGCTGGATAAATCCAAACTGGGAAAACCAGACTCTCGAGTTACCTCTAACTGTAAATGTGGTAGTAAGTAGGTTGGCCTAATTGATAGGAAACTGTCAGAACATATTCAGCGCAACCTAGTCAATGGAACAATGGATTTATGCGGGTATAAAAGCTGAAGCTTGACAAATCCCGTAGGGTGATCAGTGCGAAAATCATAGAAGTGTGAAAAATTCAATGGAAACCAATTCAGTAAAATCGTTTAACAACGAGTCACTACAAGCTTGTGGACTCACCGAGTTTGAAGTGTCAAAATAATAATCCACTATAACTCCGAAGGGGATCATGAGGTATGGAGTATTTGGTTAAAAGAGTCACCGCCCCTTGAAATTCGCATGGGGCAAAGTGTTTGAGTTTGAAGCGTCAAAATATAAATCCACTGTTGAAATTTGCGTGGGGGGAAATTATTTTAAATTATGGATTTTGGATCTCTCAAAATTAGACTGTACTATGGGAGATAGTGCAATGAAGTGAGTGCACTATCAACTCGATTTTTGAACTCGATCAGGTTGGGTGCACTGACTACAGATTCTGGGAGAGCATTCCAGGCTTGGCAAACACGCACGGAAAAGAAATTCCGTCGACATTCCAAACGGCTGTACTGCACTGCCAGCTTCAGATGATGGCCTCTCAGATTGTTGTTGTTACTGAGCTCCAGCAGATGGCGGCAGGTATGATTGGGGTCTGTCAGAATCTGATAAGCCAAAATCAAATCTCCCCGTAGTCGTCGATATTGACCACTAAATATCCCGAGCAATCTCAGTCTGTCTTCGTAGCGTAACTGGTCTAAACCTTTCACGTTCTTCGTTGCGCGTCGTTGAGGTTTCTCTAAATCAGAGAGGTCTTTCCTCAGCCACGGCTGCCAGACTTGTATTGCATACTCCACGTGTGGTCGTATGTATGCACCTGGAAGTTGGTGAAAAACGGATGGATCGAAGCGTCCAAATGTGCGCCGGAGAAGGCCCAAATTTCGAATGCTCGCGTTCGATGCTTTCTTTGCCTGGGCTGAACAACCAAGGTCGGACTGAATCAAGACTCCTAAATCCTTTTCCTCAGCAGTTGTGTTAAGCACATGGTCACCCAGTTTATAGAAAAATGCTGATTGGTGACGTAAGTGTAATACTCTGCACTTTTCTGTGTTGAGTGGGAGTTGGTTCTGAACTGACCACGCATACACCTTATCCAGATCCTCTTGAAGTATTGCGGAGTCGTCTGGTGTATTGATCGCTCTCCAGACCTTGATGTCGTCGGCATAGAGTAGGCAGTTGGAAAGAATGAGGGCCGCTATGTCGTCAATATACATCAAAAACAATCGTGGCCCCAGTACCGATCCTTGTGGTACACCACATTCGACTTGGATTGGGTGGGACAGGGACCCACGCACTTTTACCTCTAAGCTCCGGTGGAGAAGAAAGCTTGTGATCCATCCTAGGAGCGGATAACCAATGCCGAAGCTCTGAAGTTTGCAGATCAGGATTCCATGGTCTAATCGATCGAAGGCCTTTGAGAAATCTAGGTACACCACGTCCACTCCTGCACCGCTGTCAATTAATTTGGTCCAACTCGATCTTGCTAGCAGCAGATTTGTGGTGCACGATCGATTCCGTCGAAAACCATGCTGTTCATGTGCAAGGAAGACAGACTCTTCTAGATGGGCTGTTAATACGTCAGCAACAATAGCTTCCATAACCTTTGACAGGACCGGGAGAAGGGTTACAGGACGGTAGTTGGCTGGGTCAGAACGGCTACCGCCCTTGTGAATTGGGGTTATGATCCCACATTTCCACATCTCGGGTACACACATCTGATCGAAGCAGCGTTGAAAGAATCGTGCCAGAGGCTCTGCTAAACTTTCTCCCATTACCGCAAGGGACTTAGGGTGAATGTTGTCGATTCCAGGAGAGTTGTGCTTACGCATACACAACAACTTCTTTAATACCATCCCCGCCGTGAAAGTTATGTGCGTAAGTTTTGGTTGTAAAACAGCTGCTGACAAAGGAACAGATGACCAAGGAATGCATTGAAAGTTTGAAACATATTGCAGCCGCAAGGCGTCCGTCGCATCCTCCGTAGTCAGCGTCATGCCATCTGGCGTTTGAAGAGAAGGGATTCCCCGTTTCACCTTACGCAGGTTGTTTACATGTTGGTAGAGCAGCTTATGATTCGAAACCATGCGCTCCGTCAGATGCTGCTGGTATGTCAGTTTATCCTCACGAACGAGTTGAGTGCAATGATTACGTTGAATTGCATAGGCCGTCCAGATCTCCGTGCTCGGGGGTTCCTCATAGATATGCCAGGCCGAGTTCCTCACTGCCATACATTTCCGTGCCCTACTTCGCACAAATGAAACAGTCTCCTTCGAGTGGACAACCTTAGTTTCGGATGCCTCTTCGACGAGAGTGCTAAATTGGTTGACGAAATGTGGCCATGCGACTGTCGGTACTTCGTCTGTCAGAAAGTTCCAGTTGGCTGTCTCTGCAAGTCGAGCCAGCTCATCGTACCGTATGATAACTCGGCTTTCCCGTGTAGTATCCGCAGGGTATTCTGCGTAGCATATATAATCGAAGAGTAAAACTGCGTGATCGCTGCAACCCAAAGGAGCGTCGATGATTACTTTCTCGACCATGAGTTCTTCGTTGGTAAATATCCGGTCCAGGATGGACGGCCTTTCTGTTGCTCTGAATCTGGTGGGATTGTCGATATGGCCATAAAGCGGAAAACTGGAGATAAGGTCTTGTAGATCCGCTTTGAACTGTTCCGTAGGTGTCGCTTGGGCATTCAGAGCGTGGATATTGAAGTCACCAGCGATAAGAATATGGCTATATCTCCTGCTGATTACGAGCCTCAGCTCAGACGCGAGATTGAAGTCCATCTCGGGTGTAGAGGATGGAGGTCGATAAACGACCGCCACCAGACAGACGTCGTTGCCTGTTAAACGCAGCCGACACCAAAGAGTATCCTGCACGTTACTGTACACGTCTTCTATGGGCTCACATTGGAGGTCACTGCGGTAGTACAGAGCCACCCCGCCCCCTTTACTGGATCGATCGCGCCGAACGACGGACATGCCTGGTAGCTCGACCTCCGTGTCTGTGATATGCAGGCGCAACCACGTCTCCGTTATAGCGACGAGGTCACACGATGTGGACCTTTGACGTAGTCGCAGTTCGGGTAGTTTGTTAAGTAGACTTCGAGACTGGCCCAAAACAATCAATTGCTCTGTGTGTGAAAACCTGCATGAATAAGTAAATAAACTTTTATTCTCGGCAATGCGAGGCACACTTTTACATGCATGATACTGTTAAGCTAACATAGTGTGATCAAAAACTACAACAATATTTGTTTGGCATGACAGTGAATGTGTGTATGGGTGCATAAACGGACGTAATTGTGTATGAATGTAGCGGTGTAGCTGCGCCGCGGCATTTTTGACTGTTTGTAATCGTCAGAGATGTGAGAATAAGCGACTGATGTTCGTGGGCATTTTCCAGGTAACCGGAATCATTTAAAATAAACAACCGACAGAGCGCCGCCCACCTGTTCCAGTTTGTTGGGGCTTCGGCGATTAGGCGGCTGAAATCCATTCTCTGTAAACTGAATTAGCTCATCACGAGTCTCATCGTGCCCCTGTAAGGCTGATGGCCACATTCCGATGAGCGGAATGAAGGGCATAGTCAGGCGAACTTTGACCACCACCGATGCACCAATAGCGTTACACCTTGATTATCCTTGTAGGCAACCTAAGCATTTCACGAATAGTATATAAACGGTTGACAAGAATAAACAGAATAGTTGAATGCAGGTTATCGCGCCAAAAGGCTATTTTTATTGTCCGTTGAAGTTATGAGACAAACTTAAACTGCACCCAAGATCAGCGAAGCTCACAGAAGGCCGTTCACTTATTAAGTTATTAAGCTTACAGGACAAGATCAGATGTCTCATCCTGTTACACTCAAATACAACACTTCACTCTAAGGTTGCAGTTCCCGTTACTTTGTCGTTGGTATAGGGTAAGAGAAATATATTGCGCTAGTGTCTGTGCATAATTGATTAGCTCGCTCATAAGAGAAGTAGAAGCGTCATTGTATGTAGCTGTCTCCCTCGAATTGAGTGAGCAATAGAGTATCAGTGCATGATGAGTGTACTCTCCTCACTCGATGTAGCAGCGACTATGTAATGTAGAGTATACGAAGACTCTGATCACGCTCTGGTAGAGGATAAAATTACTGTCCC